GAGCAACTGGCCTAATGGAACATATCCCTGCCCATAGCAGGGGTTGAAACTAGATGATATTAAGTTCCTTTCCAACCGTAACCATTCTATGAGTCTATGATTCCATAATCTTGCATAAAAGTAAAAAATGAAATTCAATATTTTCATGTTGCTGAAAAATCTTCAGAATTTTCTTTTGGAATTTGAGCATTCTGCAAAATTATTTCATCCATGCTTTTGCTTGTTGTTTTCATTTTGTTATTTCATGACATGCAGCGATAGTGCATAATTTAACCTGCTTGAAACGTTAATTTTAAGAAAATGCATCAGTATAAATACATTTTACTCAAAATACTGCATCTTCTTCAAAAAATCAAAACATCCTCTGCATTGAAACTGTCTACAGCTTTATATCAGTCTGTACCATAATATATTTAGATATGTGGGTTTTCTCTTGATACAAAAGGTGGTGTTAAATTACCAAAAGATAGTTTGGGTTGTGGGAAACATGTTTCCTATGTGTCTTAGATTCTTGCCAAACTGCTAAGAGTGATTAATATCTTTTCCCTCTGTCAAGGGAGTGCATATTTTAAACTATCACATCATTGCTTTAAATATATGGCACAATTCCATGGTGATGCTTCCAGTGTCCCACTCAACACCCTTGAGCAGTTGTTTAAAGATACTTGGTTCATAAAACTGAAAGATGTACTGGCAGCAATATAAAGAGTTGCATACAGCATTTCTCCCCAAAATATTCATCCATAAACCCTCCTGCAGCCCAGCTATGGCACGATCCACCTCTCAGAGGAGGGTGTCACATACCTTTCTAAAAGGTCATCATTCACACAACTTTCTCTAGCTGGAGAAGGCAAACAAAACAGCTCTGCAAAATGATGCCACTGATACCTATCTATCAACTACGTAGTTAAACAGTGTAGTAACTGCCAAGAGACAACAGCCTCCAGATGTTCTCAGTTCATACAAAGCAACTGATATTCTGCCCACTTTCAAGGTGTTAGCTTTTATTCATGTCAACAAACACTTGTGGCACTCCCAAGGTCTGGATATCTTCAGTGTAGAAATCAGAAGTTCTGGTTCTTGCAGCTGGGCCCCACTTTAAATGTGAAATTTAAAGCCTGCAATTTGCCATTTACAATGGGAAAAGAGTGCTTTTCCATGATTTCAGGTGTCCCAAGAAGGACTAAAGTACCTTAACAGCAACAGGCCTTGAGCCCACGTGCGTTCTTTGACTGGTAAAAAGAAGGACTCCTCAAATTCAGCAGGTTGTGTTCAAAGCCTGACTTTGCTTGTTACAGGAGGAAGAAAAAGAAAGCAGAAAGATCTGATTCCACATGACTATTATGGAATTCACAGCCAGGCAGCTTGAGCACAAAATTTGACTCAGAAGTGCTTTTCCTTAAAAAGGAAATGATTAAATAATTCAAGTATTCGTTACTAACCAAGTGTGGTTTCTTTCTTTCTCTAGTCTGGTCATCTGTGCTTCCAAATAGTCATTTCTGCACCTTGGCCTCTTCCTCCTCAAGGGTCTCATGCCTCAAGCCCAGGAGCCCTGCACTGTCAGGCAAAGCCACAGCCCACAAGGGAAGACAGACAAGAAACAGCAACTTTCCCAGTGAAATTAGGAGAGAAATATCCAAAGTGAAGCTGTTCCTGTCAGAACAAAGTAACAACCCCACACATTTGTGTGTTGTTTGCATTGTGTCAAGTGTAATCTTCAACACTTGTCAGTGCTGCTATAAAGGAACAAAGGGTTGCTTCCACTACCAGTATACTAGGTCTGGCTATAGCTTCAGACATACAAGCAGAATCAAAGGCCAGCCTGCTAATAACTCAAATGCTGCAACCCTGCAGTGAGGGGCAAAGTTATTTGATGCAGGATTCAGCAGGGTCTCTTTTTCTGCCCTCCCTATGCTCATTTTACATGTCCTCATTAAGTCAAAAGAAGGAAGCTAAAGGGACCAAGACAGGCTTAAATCTGATCTGGGCAGAAGTTCAGAGAGGACTTTCAGTTAAGTAAATTTTCCCACTTTGTTGAAGATTCTTATTCAACAAAAAGAGAGGCAAAAAAAGGTTGCTTTTTTGGTTCTTTATCACTACCACATAATAGCATTGGTGAACTCTGCATACATCTTACTGTCTTTTTATGTTTAATATAATAGTGGGAAAGTCTCCAAGGCTTAAATAAAAATCTTACCTTGGCTCTCAAGCTTGGCAGGCTTTTGCTTCTAATACAACACAGATCAGAGGGATGGCTTTTTGGCACTCCTACCTGAAATAGCTTGTTCTCCAACATATATTAGTTATGAAAGCTCTATATTATTGTCACAATTTCATCAAGTTGGGAAAGTGCCTCAGGTACAAACTTCCTGTACAAACTTTCATATCCTAAACAGTTCTTTTTGATACCACCAATGTCAGTAGCTATGTATAAGAGAAGGATAACATATCTCCTTTGCTTTTAATGCCCATTATAACAAAACAGTCTCAAAAGAACCTGCCACACCAATAAAAGTCCGACCAAGGTGTTTATGCTGGTCTGGCTTGTAGAGCCAATTCACTGCATGCAAGCCCTGTGACTACAGTCACAGCCTCCCGAGTTTCCCACAAGCACCAAAATATCCACCAATGTCTCTGAACCCCAGCCTAAGGCAGATTCTGCTCCAGGCTCAGGGTCCCTACTGTTGTTTGGATTCAGTTTTGTTTTGCATAGCTCTCCTCCACATCAGGATTTCATGAGCTTTTTCCTTTCCTGACTGCTTGAGGAATTGGGGTAGGAAGTCATAATGAGAAGATCATCTTTCAGATGCAACACCACGATGAATTCAGAAAGCAGCATCTGCCATCTTCCTGGGTGCTCAGACTCTGGAAACCCTAGGACATCACTCTTAGCCCAGATGAGGGTTGCGTACATCAACCTAAACTCTTCCTAAAGCATGAACATCTACTTTGAGGAGTACCAACTTGCTTTTAGAAATATCCAAGTAGTTACACATGCAGAAACAGAGAACACAAACACCACACTGGTTTTATCTGTTCAGTTTGATGAGTAAGAGAGAAAATGAGGTGGACTCAAGGAAAGCCAGTTACAGAGCCAAGGCTGTATCAAGAGACAGAAAGTAGGATGGAGGCCATCACATGCTGACAAGAAGAGCCACCTCCTCAACGGTTCATTGTGTGCAAGCTGGAGGTACAGAACGAGGACACCCTTTCCTGGGAATATTTCTCCCCACATCTCTGGCCCTTTTATAGGGCAGGTCTTGGTCTTACAAGATGTATTTTCCAGGAGACATTAGCCTGGTCCACAGTGAAGCTGATCCACTTGAAACCATCTTTGCTTCTATGAGGTAACAATGTGCCTGTTTCTCCACATATCTGAGTAAGAACCCAGGAGGAGCCTGGACCTCCTCTCCTAGCACCAACCCTGCTCTTACTGCAGACCTTTAGGGCTCTGCCCAACAGCTCTTTGTGGGGGACAAGGGCAAAAGCAAGACTCAGTAATTTAAAAACCAAACAAACTAAAGATGACTGCAAATGCCAACTATAAATAGAGCATCAGGTCCTGCTGTAAACTCACAGTAGAGCTGAACTAAAAATAGCAATATGACAAGATGAAGCCGTGCAGCACTGGTGTTGAGGAACAGCAATGTCAAGAGTTTGAATATAGAAAAGAATAAGACTTTTCTACAGTAATTATCTACCTAACACAGAACAATGTGGAATAAATATAGAAATTTTATTGCAAAAAAGCATCCTACTCCCACAGCAGTGCTTAAAGAAATGAAAAACCCCAGAAAATTAAACAGTAGAAAGAAAAAGAGACTACCTTTTTTCTTAGATATACTGGTATTTTTCTGGATTGTCTTTTGTTTTATGGCACATTCATTTTCTTAAGGGAGAGATCTGACTAGAATGCATCTAAGGCTGTGCATCTCCTGCATACTTGGTTCAAAGGTGTAGCAGCACAAGTGGGATTATTTGCTCACATAATGCAGTGAGACTCCACAAGAAATTAAGAGACTGAACAAACACTGTAAAGATCAGGGGAAAAAATAAACCATTGCCTTCAGTTCCTGTTTATTCACACTGATTGCTATATTCCTCATAGACAATTCTCACCTCATTCACACTGGCTGTGTTATAGAGGGATCTGTGCACCTGTACTCAGAAGCTGGTCCCAAAAGGGTGAATGCACACAAGCCTGTGCACAGCAATTATTTCCTAGTGCCATATACTCATTCTGCAACACAAATGAAAACCAGAAAGGTCACAAATAGTTTCAGTGTTGGAAGTGGGCAGCACTATCAGAACAAAGCTGAGTTCCTGGGCTAAGTGTGCCTGGATTGCCTCCTCGGACCAATGCAGCAAGGCAGCTGCCTTATTCATGGCAAGCATTTCTTCCTAAAAGCTTTTTAGGAAGCTGGCTTGAACTGCATGGAGTCTTGCTTGCATCCATAAACGCAGCACAACATAACTGGTACCAAACACTGCAGTACTGGTCCACACTTGCTGCGGGGTTTTGGTTATATTATCTACTTTTTAGAACAAAAACAATTCATCTATAAAATCTGGCAACAGCTCATTTTAAAATCACATTGCTTTGCAGTTTTACCAATTATTTGGCAAGTGCCTATACATTAGGAAATCTCAAAGATAACTGGTTATTCTAAATATCTGACAAACCTAGTATCTAAACTAAGCAATTTAAATACTGGGAAAGAATTAGGACCTTTAAAATAAGCAAATTTGACAAGGTGAGTATGAAGACACAATCTGAGGGAGTCATGTTGATTCCTTTGCCAGATGTAGGTAATGCCTATAGAACATGTATTTTATGCCGTATATAATCATATAATCACTTTGCCTTTTACTGTTTCCCCATGCAATTATTTGATGTCACACAGCATTTCCATTCTTTCTTTTTTCCTTGAAGAAATAAAATACAGTACAGCATGGACACAAGCTCAGAATCTTGTGGAGAAAAGTAAGCATGTACTTACGACCAGAGAGAGTTTCTCCCTTGTGTGATGACTCCAGTGAATTTTGTTAGCCTTCGAGCATCTACTTCAATCCACTGATATGGGTCATTTCTTCCTGCACACCAAGCACCATCATAAAAATCATTTTCGTTAACACCTGCCTGAAAAGAAGGGAAAACTGTCTTTATACATCAGAAGCAAGAAACCAAAGGTCTTTCATGGGAAAAAGAAAAGAACACATGAAGTCTTCACTCATTCCGCTTACTCCTCTGGCACCAGTTTAGGACTCCTGAGACGGTCATTCTCACCAAAATATTTCCTTACTCAAAAGCAGGGAGGGAAATTCTGCAAAGTCCCCTTAAAAACTAAGGACCATTACATATAAATTTAAGTTAGGGTTAGAAAGCATAAACAGGGCTTCGGTTCACTCTACCTGCCTGTGGCCTGACAGAGCCTTTATCCAGAAGAAATGATCCACATGGCCTTCGCTGTTACCAAAGTCCTAAAAAACCAGCTCCAACCCATGTAAATAATGGTCAGTGCTGGAGCAACGTTATTTCCCTTGGCAAAGGAGAGGGTAGGGCATATGGAAATAGTAATACTCTTTCTCACCAATTTTTAGTCCCAGAATTATTAATTTTCATCATAAGGGTGTCAAAGATTCAAACTTCAGGAATTCCCGGCTGTACTCAACTTGTGTACCAATCTTTATCCCAATTTACTGTGGCAAACACAGCACAAAATGCCCTCTCAATATTTTCAGAGAAATAGCTGCAAGATATTTTGAGTAAGTTGTATTCCAAATCCATCTGAAATATCATTTAAAGAAACATAGCACCTGAAGTCTTTAGATATTTATCTTATTACTAAAGCCCAGGAAATGTCTGGCACCAAACAGCTATTGCCATAGAGAGCAGAGAAGCTTTTCCATATGGTTCTCTGAGGTTACATGTAGCTTTATGATAATTCATTTTTGTTGAATGTGGCTTTATCGTTGCCATCCATATGCTTCCAAGAAAAGATATCCTTAAATATTTCCCAAATATAAATTAAGAATCTGGAAAACTTTGTTATATTAGAGATATATTTTAAAGCTCTGGAATACAGCTACTGTCTATTCAGTGGTAAATTTTCAGCTGGTCCATATGTATAAGTAAAACATGAATGAAGTACCCAAGAGCACATCAGTCAACTAAATTTCCTGAATTATCCCTGAGCTTCCCTCTGAGCAGTATTAGCAGGTATTACAGTCATGGCTGGGTTACAATGGCAGAGATTTGACATTTTTAATGGCCATTTCCATCAACATGGGCATTGTGTGGGTCTATCTCAAAGAGAAGATACATTGTGAAGAGAGATTAACAACTGCGAATCTGGTGGCATCTGAAGGAAATGCTGCAAAACAGACACAGATTCAACTCCTAAAACTTCTTATTTTCTCAGGTACTCAAATCTGAGTGAGGGCAGCTTAAAAATGACTTGTTTTCCTAAATTCCAGAATTATATTAAGCCACCTATTTCTATGCATTAACACTATATTTTAAAGTGAAGTTTGCATAAGAGTTGAAGATAAAGGGAAAAACTCTATTAACAATGGAAGATAAATTTTTCAAGAACTGGACAATGGGAAAACATGAGAATATAACTATTATCACTAACCTGAGTAATAACCTTTTTCAAGAAAAGGTTTCAATGCATTTTAAAAATCAGATGAAATTTGAAGTAGCCATCGGGTTTAAAACCAGTGCTTGCCATGAAGCATTAAGACCTGCAGAGCACCTTGAACCAGTATCATGCTTATCCCTTTCCCAGTCATGAAATTCCACCAATTTCTCTAGACCAAGTACCTGTATCTCTCATTGCTTCAGCTGGGATCCTTGGTCCTCATTCAGTCTGAGGCTATTTCCCATTGGTGTGATGCTCATCAGGATGTAAACCTCTCCTCCACATTACTGTGAGAGGAGGGAAACAGAGGAGAGGAAAAAAAGCTTATATGGAACCCCCCCTCAACCCTAATTTGATACTCAAATCTCTATGGTTTCAACTGGACTCAGAGAAAGTTAAGCATATGACTAAATCGCATATCAAACATGGGGAGTCTAAAGGACATGTTTAGAGTTATGCACAGCTTAAAATAATATGGCCTTAAAAAGTGGCAAAGAGAACATTAAAGAAAAAAAGAAGAAACCATGCTGCTACTTGTTCCTGATCTTATTTCTTGATATCAGCCTCTCTGAAGCTAAAAGACTATTTTTACTAAGTAAAAAGAAGCAGGTGTCTGGGTATAACTAGCATAAAGCACTACGTGAAAAAGAAGAGTTTAATCAATGAGATGTTCTTATCAGAAATATTTCTGAAGAAAAAGAATGCAAAGATATTTATGTTAAAAATTCCCTTTTCAAGCTTCAAGTCTGTATTTTTTTTCTTATGGAGCTTGAAGTTTTGAATTTGCCCTATAGCCACTTCAAAATAAAGTTTCTGAAAACCTCCCTTATAAATGCAATTAAATATTTAGTGGTTAAAATTGATAAAAAATGTTAATTCCTGAAAGATGAGAACAATTGTCATCAAATAGTCCATGAAAGGATATAGATCCAATACCTTGTCTCAGTAAGATGTTGACTTGAATGTAAAAATGGTATGTTGAATTAAAGGAGATAATGGATTTAAGTCATGACACATGTAACTAAGCTATACATTTTAAACACCTAAATTATGAGTAGGAGAGTGAAGCAGCTAATTAAAAATGAAAATAAGGGCTAGGTCTTAAGCAAACCTTTTTTTCTTTCAGGCAATTTTCACGAATAACTCAAAATTAACCCAGATTATATTTCACAAATACAAAAACATAAGATATGCAGTATCTTACAAAAAAAAATTGATATAGAGTAAGGGACTTCTTTTATGTCACTCCTAAATAAGTTCTCTATAAATGTGACCGTTGAAAATTGCCATTCAAGTAAAACAAACCAACTGCTTATTATGTATCCAGAAGCTAAGATGAATGGAAATCAAAAGGTTATAATTCCCTTACAAGTGATAAGGCTTCTGATTTTAATTCATGTTTCTCTTCCAAGTTAGATATGTGCAAGACAGAACAAACACTTGCTCACATTATCACTGTTCCAAAAGCCTTATTCTATAACGAGGAGAAAAACATTACTGCCTAAATGTATTCAAATGAAGAAAGAAATTTCAGTCTGCTGCCACAAGTCAGCTAGAGCAGCAGTAGAAATATACATAATATCAAACCATTTCTGCTTAAATTCTTCCTTTTCCCAGCAGGGTGATCACAAAAATTATTTTACCATAGGAAGTTTGGGAGGAAAATAAGAAATAGAAAAGCATTACTCATCACAGGTATTTATAGCAACCACTGCCAGCAGAGAAGAGGTAAAGCACGGAGGCTGGAATTAGAACCTCAATTTTGTCTTTTGCTTGTGTTTAGAGAATGGAGCTTTCCAAAGGAACCAGTCAAACAAAGACAAAAAGCAAAACATTCTGCTTATTTGCATACACACGATTGCTTTACTTGCTTAATCTTCAGTGCTGTTTGGATTTCTCCAACCAGGAAAATGAAGAAGGGGAAGCAATATCATTTGACTAATTATTTCAGGTTTTAACCACTGCTAATTATTGGACAAGTGACAAATACTAATGACTTTTATCCCTGAAGGCAGAGTGCCTCAATGAATATTATTTTATGCTATGATTTTTCCTGATGATGTTAAATTACTACTCATGGCGCTACCACAGTTGTTGCAGGCTGGATCCCTGATATACAGGGCTCTAGTAGCATTGCTCCTGCCCTCCAGAGGTCCCAGCTAAATCACTGCATTCATACAGGACCAGGAGCAAAATTGGGTCCCACATGGGGCAAGGTCACAAGAGAAGTAGATCCCAGAGAGTCTTACCCAGCCCTGCTAAGCCTGTCCTTCTCTGGAATAAAGCAGACACTGACTGATTAATGTGATATGCTTCAAATAATCTAAATGGAAAAAATACCCCCCAAAAGCCTTTGAAAAACTTTATTATTCTGCAAATTCCCTGTGAGTTGAGGAAGTGCCAGTTACCTGGGGTGAGCCCTAAGCTTCTCAGCTGACTTTGCATCAGATGATGAGGCTGGGCAGAGAGCAGATTTTGTCTTATTTCATGAAGGAACACAACAGTTTCTTCCTGAAATATGAATATTATGATAGCACTGTGATGATACCCAGACCATGCCACCAGGGCAGCAGCTATCACTATAACATAGTGCTCTGGTGAAACTTCAGGGGCACATCAGCCTCTCTGACTTGGGCAGAGTGTTTTTCTTCATGTGTAGTTCTAAACAGCATGAAAACACAGCTGCCTAAATCCCAGTGCCTTTTGCCTTTGCCCAGCATGCCACAACTCACCTTTCTAAACAGCAACCAGAAATCACCAGGGACCTGGCTGCACAGCTGACACCAGTCCTCTGCAGCACCTATTTTCAGTTATAACCATCTATCTTTTAAATACTAGAATTCAGTATTTAAATTTTAAATGTAAAAATTTTAAAACTGAAATTCAGAACTCTTTATGCAAAGTAAAATTAAGCCCTGAAACCCAAGTGACAGGGAAGAATTCTGCAAATTCAAAATGGCTTTGAATATTGAAGTGTTACTAATTTTAACCTAATCCCAAAGGAAATAGTAGCTAAAGAAAAATAAATGCAAGCCCATGCTTTTAACACTGCCAGTTATTGTAATGCTGTCTGGGAAATTACTGTATTGATACAGCATACAGATAAGCTTTCAATAAGCGTAAAAGCTTTTGATTTGAGGATTACTAAAAATCTTTATTAAAGGTAAAGACATAACAGATAAAAAGGGCTGCATTTAAGCAAGTAAGCCAGAGAAGTCACTTTGCTATAATCCAGGTGGTTGGGTTAGTTGTACATGAACCTCCCACAGTCCTGGGATCAGGACTATACCAGAAAAGTCCCTATACCAGGAAGGGGTAAAAGCATCTTTTGGATAATAAGGAGAATCAATCCATGCAGAATTCATACAGCTCAGGAAATGACAACACAAAAATCCATATGAAGCAGAAGCGTGACATGGTGAAGCCTTTGTCCACAGGAAAAAAACCCACCAGCTTTTGAATGGGGAGGAGTAAAAACCCAGTTTGCAAAAGGCTGTCCCTTGGCTTCACTGGAGGCTCTGGACTATATTTAGTGGAAACACCAATTATGGGTAAGACTCTTAATCTTCATTTTAATGCAGCATGTCATGGTGATGACATGACACAGGACTTGATGGACTCCTGGTCTAAACCAGTATGGTCATTCTTGTCTTTAAATAAACTGAACTTTAACACCAGAATGAAAAACAAGGAACCACAAGCAGAGACTTCAGAAATTTACATCACAGTCCTCAGTCTTATGCCACTATATAACCAAAAAGATAACAAAATAATTAAACTTTCCTACAGAACCCACCTGAATATCATCTGCATACCCTGCTTTGTGTTCATGAGGGTTTAATTCCTAGCAGAGAATATGAAGACACAAACTACCTTGCACAGCTCTCAAAAGAAATTCCATATGAAGTCCTCCAGCTGACTCCGTTTTTCATGTGACTGCATAGCAAAATGGTTTACAGAGCTTTCTGACCAACATTAATACATTAAAACAAAGAGTGAAGAGGAAAAAAAAGGGGAAGCAGCAGTTCTCCTCTCCCCATAGACACATAGCAGAGACACTAGAATACACCAAAGCAAAGGAAGCACTTGCACAGTGGGATTTTAACCAATAGTGGTCCCACCTTCCAACAGCTGCTCACCATTACATGGCCATGGGCACCATGTGAAATTGTTCTGCTGATTAGAGCCCATCCTTCCTAGTCCCAGTCTAAGTCACTTAGTTCATTAACTAGCAAACCCTTTCAGCTGGAGAACAAAAAAGCCTAACAGAGGGTCTAATAATAGGAGGTAACTAATAGATTAAATAAGCTTTAGAGATTTTTAACTGTTAACTTGGTTCTGGTATCCTTTTTATGACTTTGAGTTTTAAATGTCGTGCTTTATTACGCAAAATAGCATATTCACACTGGAAAAGACTGTAATTCAGTGAACAGCATTAATAGAGTGAAAAACAGAAACACAAGAAATGGAGAAAAGTAGAATTTGGTCCTGCAAGGCAGCTAAGCACATCTTTCATATTAAATAAAAGAAACTAAACTAGATTGTATGCTAGCGACTTCTGAACTGAAGCAATTTTTGGTAGTATAAGCACTGCCTCTGAAAAAATGCCTTAGGGCAAGTGCTCACTCGAAACCACACTTTTAATTAACCATTGTCATTAACTACAGGCAAACAACAAAAAAAGCTATTTGCTGTGTGAGCTTCCTTCCAGGCTGATTGCTAAGGGAGCTGGGAAGGATGCAGCTCTGGGCTGCCTCCACCTTTGCTTGCTCATAGAAGTCTGTTTGGATTTGCACCCTCAGCACACTAAGGTTGGAGTTTCTTCTAAGCAAGCCCCACGAATCTACAACCTATCCATCAACCTTATTCACTTCCACAATTCCAGTGTTTCCCCTTCATTTGAATTACATGAGCTGACAAAGCAGTCAGAACCAATAACCATCCATTGGTTCTCTTTATACAACCTTAAGCCATTCTCCCACTTAGGAGAAAAAATGGATGTTACCTGAATATTAAGCCTTCCTCTGTGGGCCCCAAGGCCATATCGCTTTGCTGTAGAGGCATGGAGCTGGAAGTCAGTGATTTTTAATGTCTCTAGTCCAAGCGGAGGACAATCTACAAAACAAAAGATTGATTAAAATTTAGTTAAAAAAGAAGCACAAGTAGTCAAAGTTTCTGTAGTGCAATTGTGCCAACGTGGCTGAGGTCCTCAGCTGGTGTAAATGAACACATCACCACTGAAGTCAATGAGAAATGGCAGCTCTTATAAAATCAATGAAGGAATACTAATTTACACCAGCTGAGGATCTGGCTTTTTGAGGGTCTCGGTTAGTACTGCTTGCTACATGCTTCAGTTTTTCATGGATATGCACAGTATTTCCTGCATATGCACAGTATTTCATGCTGAGTGCTTTTCAGTACAAAATGCCAGTAAAATGGCCTTTTATTTTTCTTCCCTTTTGGCATTTACTTTTTCATCTCTTGTTTTGATTATTCCCCCCCATCCCCGTACTCATTCCAAGCTACTGTATGAAGTTATGTTTCCAATTAAAATCTGTTCTGGAAGCTTCAATCACGCGTTGCACAACAGCATCTGGTCCAGAGGTCTGCGACTGGGGACAGCCAAGCTCTTGCAGAGGTAATGACTAAGGACAAAGAGAGAAATTATGAAATGAGGGGCTATCTCAGCTCCAAATTGTGCAAAGCCTTGAAGAAAGAAAAGCAGATGTTTCTTCAGCAGCTAGAGCCAGCCTGGAGATCTGGTTTTGGAAGACAAGACGTTGGAAAGAGTCTACTTCATGGTTATCAGAAAAATGTCCTGCTCTAAACTGACCCCAGACACCACAGTATTTAAGTCCCTCATAGTGCTTAGCATATTTATCCTCAAAGCAGCATGATGAGGTGAGGAAGACCCATCTCAGTGTTTCACAGGAGGTGAGCAAAAGCACAGAGTGATGCTTTGGGAGCACCTCAATACAACAGCAGAGCACAAATTAGAGACCCTGAAGTCAGCACCAGCTGAAAGTCTGTGTGGGGCAGAGGTATAAAGCAGTGTCATACTTACCATTTAGACCAGGTACTTGCTACGTTAGGCTAGGCTTTGTGCTGCTCTGGCTATACCACTTCTGGGCTTGGGTAGAGGACAGATTTTTTCTGCAGTCAAATGTGGGAGGATTGATTTAAGTTACACACTAGGCTGTGACAGAGACAGAAGCTGAACAGCAGCAATGGATCCCAGGCCACATTTCCAATCCCCAGGTCACCCCTCCCCAAACCATCCCTCCTCACTGCCTGCCTGACTGCTGGGATTGCAGTCTTCCTTGTGCAGCAGTTGCTGGAGAATTCATAGGATAATACCATACAATCCCAAACTGGTTTGTGTTGAAGGGACCTTAAAGCTCCTCCAGTTCCAACCCCTGCCATGGGCAGGGACACCTTCCACTAGAGCAGGTTGCTCCAAGCCCCTGTGTCCAACCTGGCCTTGAACACTGCCAGGGATGGGGCAGCCACAGCTTCTCTGGGCACCCTGTGCCAGCGCCTCAGCACCCTCACAGGGAAGAGCTTCTGCCTCAGAGCTCACCTCAGTCTCCTCTCTGGCAGGTTAAAGCCATTGCCCTTGTCCTACCTCTAGTTGCTCTTTATGTCCTGCTTCAGTTGTCTTGTAGGCTTCTAGCTACTGGAAGACTGCTTGTCAAAAGACCTCACTCCCATTCTCTGTGCCCATATCCCACTTACGTATATATTTTTAATCACTCACCAAAATGTCATGAGGATTTGTACCTGAGAATCTCATCCTGGCTGTGTCTAACTGTCAGGTGTAGTTTTGCATTGCTATGTACAAACTGGCAAAACGTATGGTATTTCATATGTTCCTCCTTAGCACATAACAACCTAAAATCACTCAGGAAAATTGTTACGTGCTGTCAGTTCATTCTGGTATTTCTTTGTTAGTCCTTAGGAAAGTTCTCACACAAATCCAGGGCCAAATGTCTTCATCAAAGCCAGTAAAGACAAATGCTAAATATTAATGTATCTTTTAAAGTACCAACAGTGATTTTAGTCTTACAAAAGAGACAAAATGTAGGCAGTTCCTCATTCTGAAGAGCTTTCCATCTAATTATCTAAAATAGAGACAGGATGTATAAAGGAAGGCAGAGGAAGGAATAGTTTGTTGGATTTTTGTTTTGTTGGCTGATTGTTTTAATTGCATTTCCTTATAGTGTTTCATCTTTCATCATACTCCAAGTGCAAGTTTCAGGCTCTGACAGATCCCTACCGATAATGTATTACATAGCTGGGAGCCGTCTGCCTTTCTTTAGAAGAACCTCAAGGCAGGTTTGGAGATCAATCTCATGGTGTAATCCTGCAAACACTTTTGCACTTCGGTGTATTTTGCTCTGTGAACAGTGTCATCATTCCCAGGCACTCAAAAGCTACCCAGAAGCACTTGTACCAAGCCTGAACTGAAAGGAAAAGCAAGCTGCTTTTATACACTCAGTTCATAAAATATCATTTAATGCCATGTTTATGCAGCACATAAACAAGGCTGAGGGGCAATCTACAGGTACTGCTAGGAGTTAATAAATGTAGAAACAAAGAGTACAGGCAGATTCTTCTGCAATGTATCTACTGAAGCTGTTTCTTCCACATTGCTTTTGACACCTCGTCTCTGCTATTGAACAGGAGCAAGGGCTTACGGAGCTGCCCTGGGGCCAGTCAGCACATCACTGCTCCATTGCTCTTTCCTTCACAGAGACCTGTTTTCATGAAACCTGTAGGAAATGCAACATTTGTGAGCCTGGCAGCTGCCTGTCAGACCTGTCCAAAGTGACCTGCAGTGATACACACCTGACAGTCTGTGTATAAGAAGTGGGTTTGGTTTTATTCAGACTGAAATGTTACTGACTATAAAACTGGAATATTCTTGGGCTGCCTGTGGATTTCAGGGAGAGTTTCTTAGACTGCAAGATGAGTATTTACAGGCTGGAAAATCTGCCTGCATGTATTTGTGTGTATTATCTCTGTTTCTAGAGAAACTGAAGCCTAATAATAGACTCAAAAATGTTCTGTGGATCTCAGATAAACATGCTTGATGGCTCTTTATTTTTCAAGGATGAACTATTTGGATTATCTGTGAACACATCAGATTAACAGGCCAATATTATGAAATACTCAATTTAACAGGAGGTTTCAATGAAAGCAAGATTAGGCTTTAAGATCAAGCAAGAGCTATCTCTGATACGCAGTATAGATACCTTTGATGGAAACTGTGCAATATGTTGTTTACAATATACTGTCCTTTCTCAACATGATCAAGACTTACAACATGTCAGGTGAAATCATTAGGATATTTACCATCAGTTCAATAGTATCCAGGATTTTACGTTTTACTGTTATTTACATAAACTTGTAGGAGAACATCTAACTTTCTTTCTCTTGAAGTGAACTAGACTTGAAGCAGGGACTTCACTAACTTACCAAATCACATAAAGACTTTCTTATAACTTGGTAAGAAAAATCAAGTATTTTGCTCCAGTACTTGACTGAAAATTAATGAAAAGCATTCCTTGGCCCCTCTTTTTCCGGTGATCATCCCAAACCAGGAACAGAGCAGCAGGATTCTCCATAAAAGACCATTGACCTTTAGATGTTTCTGTCTGCGCAGCTCTGGACAGAGATGATGTTCTTGGAGCCACCAAGTCTATTGTTTGCAATAGCTTTGATGTATGAAATTTGTCCTGTTTTCCACAAGAGAAGATCTTTGATTTTGCTTTTAAATGAAATTGTCTTCTATTTATAGCCATAATATTTGACTATTAACACATTAGGAATATTAATTTTTTCCACATGGGTTTGAATTCTAGCATCCATAAAAGGATGAAAAGAGGAGTATATTAGACAAAAACATCAATCTGGTATGCACAAAGATGATTGGGGTAAATTTTTCAGTACAGCCTCATCTGACTGACTCCAAGTTACTCATTATAACACAACACAATCCACCTAAAATTGTCATTTCACTACAGAAAAAAAACAAAAATAATCCTGAGTTATACTGTGAATTTAACTTCAGGTGAGTTGTTTCGTTGGGGGGTGTGTTCCCTGCTTTTTAAAGCTACTAGAGATAACCAGGACAACCTATGTTTGAAAAGCATACAGGAAAAGAAACTGATTCATGGCATTCATAAAGACTATAGTTTTAAAGTGTTGCTTTAATATATTTTATTTAAGAAATCTTTGATATTACAATGAAAATTGCTGCACAATTAGTAAGACTTCCTTTATGATTTTTTTATTTTCCCTGCTAGCTTGAAAAACCCTTGCAGAAGCTAGAGAAATTTGGTAGCATAAATAATCAGAGCAGTTCATATCTCGTAGATACAACTGGAAATGACCAAGTTATCTGGTCACTTGTTTAACTGGTAAAAAACCCCAATCATTATAAAATACAGGAAATTCAACTAGGGCTTTGAAAGACATTTAAAACCACATTCTTTGTACATAAAAACTTACTAACATAATGCAGCTAATGTGTTTACGTTTTACAGCAACTGAAAAGCAAGCATTAAGCTTGCAGGTACAGGAAAGAGCCTGACTTATGGACATTTATCTCATCCTGGCCCATATCCAACCAATATTTCATATGTGATTTCAACCACACATAGGTATTCACTTTAGAAACATGCCATCAATAAGATGGTTCAAATTAATTAATTAATTCCAAGCCCTAAAAAGACACAGGTCTCGGATTTAGACATAATGACATTTGCATCTTGAAGAGTGTTCTTGGGAGGTTTCCATTTCAAAATTGCTTTCCTATTAGCTATGTTAAATGGCTATTTAACCCATTATTTTCAATTATGTATCTATTAGCTAGACAAATGGTTGTACCCCAGCTAAGGACCACAAGGCATTTCTGATACATCAACACTGTTAGCAATCACCTCTCCCTTGAAATCAGGGAGATAAAACACTTGAGAATTACTTCAGTCACAACCTCATCTCTTGAAATCTGAATTTACCAGTTATAATTTTTGGAGACCAGTAATGAGTGGTGTCCCT